TACTTCCACGCCTGCAGAGGTAGGAAATAAACTCCCAAGTCAAAAAATAGAACATACAAATAAGTGATGATGGGAAATAATGATATTAACTGAGGCTGGACCCACAACCCCTCAGTGTACTCTTCTTGAACTCTCATCAACGTCATGTCACAAACATGCTGTTAATTGTCTTATATCACATGTGACTGTCTCCTCTGTAATTGAAGTGAACCTCTGGTCAAAACTGTACATACATCTAATGTGTTCATGTGCTCAATAACTTCACGACATAACCTTCCCTTCCTGGACAAAAATAAATCAACATATGGTCAAACACTCTACATAATGGACAACAATAAAGGGTACACAAACTTGCACATATATATCTAATATTGGAAAGTCCCTTGACGATTGTTCATCAGTTACATTCCCTGAGGTAATCAAGATCAGCCATTCTCGACACTAAGACAAAAGAATATTACATGCATGGAAAGGTATGAGCAGTTGGTCATAGGAGACACTGCTAACGACCCGTTGTTGAGTGCCTTAAACACTCCACTGTGATGTTGGGACAAAGTTCACACTGATGCATCTGGCAGCGTGGCGCCTCCCTTGCTGGCTGAGACCCAGTAACAGTCTGGGCTTCACACTGTCCTCCAAATATATCAACCCAGCCTCTTGTTTACACTGGAATGTTGGGTGTGACGGACCTCGGCGCCATCTACGATCTAGGTGCCGAATTATAGCAGTTGACCCTCCTGTTAATTGTAGGTTCCCATCTTATAGTTGGCTGAGCTGGAAGGTGACGACCAACCAGGGACAGGCAATGGAAGGCAGTGAAGCCAGGAGAGTGGAAGAGTGCTTAGGTCGACCTGAGGTGCTGGCTAGTGTGACGCTGTGGCCTTTACTTCTGGAGGGGCTAGCCAGTTGGGCTAGTTGAGGGCGTTGGACTTCACTCCTGGAGATGCTAGCCAATAGGGCTAGTTGAGTGCTGTTGTTGGGTACTGTGGACTTCACTATTGGAAGGTGCTAGCCAGTGGGGCTAGGTGAGCGCTTTGGACATTGGCGGATGAGCGTAGTAGCGAGTGCGCTACAGAGGTGGAGCATTTGAAGACGGCTCCATAACGGCAGATAGCGTAAGGGCTAGTGGTGCCTTGAAGACCTCGTCAGAGGCATATAGTGTCCTTTCTCACTTTCAACGGGCTCACTTTCCAGCCCGTTGTTGTCGTGAGGAGGCTTGGTGGGCTGCTGTCAGTGTGATGGTCCATGGGACAGCATTTCTTCTGTACTTTTGAAGTCTTATGGTCACCCCCCCCCCCCCCCACCTACCTTTCCAGCCCGTTGTCGTAGTGAGGGAGCTTGGTGGGCAGCTGCCAGGGTGTGATGCTCCATGGGACAGTCCTCTGCCGTCTTCACTAATTTTGCTGGATACTATTTCCTCTCCCTTATGTTTCATTTTGCCTTCCCCATCTCCTTTCTAATTGTCATTTCCCGCTGACCTTTTGCCATTCTTGAATATTCTTTCGAACATCTTCTGTTTTGACGCCCGGATGTTTGGGAAGGCACACTTTCACCCGTAAAACTGTGGTACCCGACGCTGTGAGGGAGGGGACGCTTCTATTGTCAATCCTCGCCTTCGTTGCTCAACCCAATTTCGATGGACTGAAGGTTCTTTAGGTGACGATTGCGGGGTGTATACTCATGATGCACCCCTGGGGGGGGGAGCCCCATCTTGTTGGGTGTTCTATCCTCCTAATTGTGGCTCCATGAAGGGTATGGGGGCTTATTCTTGAATGAAATTATTACCTGCTCATTGTTATGCCACTGAATGATCCTCTTATAACTTCCCAGGCGTGTGGAGTGGGCGACCAAGCCCCTAAGTCGGACTGTGTTGGAAGACTGGGCTATGTAGCCCCTGCTACATTGGGCTCAAACCTAGCTACTCATTTGACCCTCCTAACTACACCCTTCCGGTCCCCCCCCCTCCCCACCTCTTTGGTAGGGTTGAGTCCCAAAACCCAAGGGATGACCACCTCATCACCTGGAGTGGCTCCTTCTCTCATTGTGACAACAGGGCCATTTACCCCTCCACTTACTGGAGGTGCTTGGTGCCAACCCCCCACAGTTGCACTCACATGATTCCTGCCAATGCTAATATGTTCCACGCCTTGTTTGGTCCTGCTACGTGGACTAAATACTTTGATCTCGACCATCTGGATTCTACACGGCCTGATAATTTCTTCCTCCATAAACAGCTCATTCTTTCAGGGGAAAACTGTTACTTTTAACCCCACTCGCTCTGGTACACGTGTCATTACTGTTCCTTCTCAGGAAGCAGCTGCCGGCTTAGTCGCATTGTTCAACATTGGGAAGACCCCTGTTAGGATCTCCAAAAATACCTGGTTAAATGTCAGTATTGGCACTATAATCTGCCCACACCATATTGCGAATGGTGTTGGGGAACTGAAAGACTGCCACGAAGATATTAAACATATCCTTGAAGCCTAAGGCCATTCTGTCCTCCAGGTTGATACGGTCACTTGGCCCCCACGTGGATGTCGTCATCAGCCTCTTCGAGTTGTGACGATCACTTTTGATAGTAGGTCCCTTCCGCCTTCTATAATTCTTGCTGGTGCCAGATGCTCCGTTCAGGAGTACATTCCCTCTCCTGTACTTTGCAATAGGTGCTGGGCTTGGTACCCTCAAATGCATAAGTGCAGTGTCACAAGGCTCAGATGACATTCATCATGAGATGCTGCATCATCTCCCTCCATGTGCATTTCAGTATTTACTGTATCTATAACCGTATTTGGGGAGTCGGCGTCAGTCCCTGAGGACCGGCTCGAGGCACTTGTTCTTCCTATTCGGAAACCAGGGTCTCTAAGGACTTCCGCCCCACTGCCCTCACACGTTGCATCTGCAAACTCTTTTGAACGTATGGTGAATGTCCGTCGGATGTGGTTCTTAGAGCACCAGTGGATCTTCCTTCCGATACTTTGGCTCTGTGGCAACTTTTGATAATTGAGTATTTTCTTCTTGATTTGCTCCTTAATCTGTGAAAAACTTGGAGGTATTTCTACCTGTACAACAGGTAGAGCAGTGGCAGTTTTTGCTAGTGAGTCTGCCTTTTCATTACCATCTGTGCCAATGTGACTTGGTATCCAATTTAGGGTGATTGACAGCACTAGATTATGGGCTTCTTTTCCTGTATGTTGAATTTCTGTGAGGAGTTGTATATTATCTCTGCTGACTGGATAACAATGCCTGGAGCAAAGATTTAGTCGGTATGAATGATGACATCATGTAAATTATTCTCAATTGAATAGTTTATGGCCTCCTTCAGGGCATATAATTCTGTTTGCAATGTTGAGCACCCACTATTCATGCTCCAGTAAGCTTCATGGTTGGTAGTGTAAACTGCTGCCCCAGCAGAACCTTTTTCTTGATCAACTGATCCGTCTGTGATGATGTGAATCGTTGTAGGTCTTGAGGTCTGAGGTCTATGGCTGCTTTGATCCTCTGCGAGTCACATGCTGATTTTGTAACTGGTAATCCTTCAATGATGATATTTAGACTCGATTATTCCCATGGAGGAGGCTGCCGAAAGTGTTGATATAGTCTGTCTGCTCCTTTGTATTTAATGGTCCATTTCAAGTCCACTTTCTCTAGAATCTTGAGCAGATTATCCGTCCATGTGCTTGTTCTTTATTGAAGGTTTCTCTGAAGCGATCTGTGTATGCTGTCTTTGATTGGCAGTCTGGCGATGGTTCCAACAAGTTTTGCTGTTATGGTGGCTATCCTTTGTTTGATCCTGTTTTCTAAGGCTGGTAAGTTGGTTTCCATTCTTAGGTTCTCTCGACGCGTCCATATAGGTGATCCCAGCATTGTTCTGAGACCATAATAAGGGATTGATTGATAAAGATTAAGCCACCCAAGAGGTGGCACGGGCATGAATAACCCGTAAATAATAAGGAAATTTGTTGTTGTTTCAGATTTAGCTACTCAGAACGAAGTGTCCATGTAGCACAGGCTATGGTGAGCCCGTAATTGAGTTCGGTTATTCGCGATAACCTTGTTTCTGTGATATTTGGGTCTAGGTTTAAAATGGAGGAGGGGATTCCTCCTTTTTCCCTGTTTGTTTATCACTTCTGTTTTAGTGCACTGGTTTTAGTCTCGTTTTATTAACGTTATCTTGGTGGGGGATGTAGATGCACCTGTACAACTCTACGCTCCCAATACATACACTTTACCATACACCTTTACTTGCACCTCAATATACACACCTGCACACATGTTACACAGCCCCCCCCCTATACTAAACCATACCCCCCCCCCCCATTCATCACACAGAGACTCTGATCTGAAACTTTTCTTTGACAGATGTTATAGAACTCACTATCACCACACCAGAAATAAATATCTCTTTGATATCTCCAGAGTCAAACTAACTCTGTATAAACACTTTACGCAAATAAAGGGACATAGTCTATGAACTCACTCCCTAATGAATTAAAAAGCTGTGCATCCTACCGCTTATTCAAAAGTACCACCAAAAGTACCTAATTTCATCTTCATAGTTTTCTACCTAGTGCTTCACACTCGCACTGTATCTTGTGCTGCCCCAAAATATGTGTCTAAGCCATATAACTTCACTGTTGTATCTTGTGCTGCCCCAAAATATGTCTCTAAGCCATATAACTTCACCGTTGTATCTTGCCATCATCTTATCATGGTTATGTTGAACGCAAATTTTACTACAATGTACCTAATAATAATCCTCAAATTTCCTTACAATGTAACTATTAACTTTTCTCAATTTAGCTACAATTTACCTACTTAAAATTATCTGTTAGATTAAGGACCTGCCTGAGACGCTATGTGTGCTAGTGGCTTTACATGAATGTAAAAACATCAATGTTATGTACTCTCATAAACCTATTGTACCTTCTTGTATATATATAAATAAATAAACAAACTCCTGTGTATATAAATAAAGACAATTAAAAAGTCAGTTTCGGCAGAGATCAGTAACCAAAGAAAATGTACGGAGCAAGATGGCGGGCAAGCGAGCGAGTGACGTCATCACAACAAAAGCCAAGCTGCTACACGAGGTGTAGACGACGACCCGTGAGATAACACTGCCACGCCTCAACTGATAACAATGTCGCCACGCAATCACTACCAACACGATAACAACTCTGATAAGAAATGCAGCTACCATCATGAAGAAGATAACACTGACGCTCCTCACTGTCTTAGAGACGGTCACCTGTGTCCACAATACCCGCCAAATTGTCCCTCCCACAGTACTCTCAGGACACTTATGGCAGTGTAAGTGTGTGGTGAGGCCACACCACTGAAGACATTGAGGATATATACCACGAGGGAGAGACAAAACTGTTGAAGGAAGGAGTCACTGGCTCCACCTGACCACCTTGTTCCTCGCACTCTCATCATCCTCCGTAAGTACTGGAGTACTTTCTGCTCCACCATTGTCTTACATAGGCCTATACACCCCATAGTTTGGGGTGTGGACATGGGTGTATGGAACTGCTGGGTTGTGGACTAAGGCCTGTGGAATTGTTGGGGGTGTGGACATGGGCCTTTGGAATTGTTGGGGTGAATCATATGTTCAGGTGTGGATATAGGCCTTTTGAATGGTTTTGTTGGGGACTGGTATTGTTGGGGTGTGCACCCAGGCCTATGGAATTGTTCAGTGTGGACATAGGCCTCGATAATTTTTGGGGTATGGACATATGCCTTTGGAATTGTTAGGGATGAATTATATGCCTATGCCATTGTTGGGGTGTGAATATTAGCCTATAGAATAATAATACTAATAATGTTTATTCAAAATAATGTGTGTGAACAAAGAACGTAAGAATAATGTACAATTGGAAGGACAGGAGTTACACTTACTACTTATAATGAAGCCACTATCACACAAAACATTTTGGGCAAAACTTAAACTAATATAGATTTTTTTTTAACTAATTAGATGTGAGGGGGGGGGGTGGGGGTATATACCCACACGTTATATATAACATTGTGTGTGTGTGTAGTGTAATACCAGCAAAAACTGCATATTGAGAGAAGGATTCTTGCTGAGTAAGGTGACGTCGTTTGCTTGCTTGTGTGCTGACACTAAGCTGTTTGGACACCATACCAGCTTAAATTAGTGGTTCATTATGGTGAAGGTTTGAAGTCAAAGTGAAAGCAACATGTGAGTCATAAACACTCACCCACCACGTTACTGTAAGTAACATGTGAGTCATAAACACTCACCCACCACGTTACTGTAAGCAACATGTGAGTCATAAACACTCACCCACCACGTTACTGTAAGTAACATGTGAGTCATAAACACTCACCACCACGTTACTGTAAGTAACATGTGAGTCATAAACACTCACCCACCACGTTACTGTAAGTAACATGTGAGTCATAAACACTCGCCTACCATTACACTGTAAGCAACAAATGGTATTTGTGGAGACTGAAAGTTGGAGCTGCGGACTTGAGCCTCCCATTAACTCTTCGACTCATCAGTGAAAAAGAGAGAGTTGCCAAAGGAATGGAAGAGAGCCAATGTAGTGCCAATGTGCCAGAATGAAAGGACACAGGAGCCACTAAACTACACAGTAGCTTCATTATCCACCATTCTCAGTTAGGCGCTAGAGAAGCTTGCAAGGAAACGTCTCCTGGAACACTTAAAAATTAAGATTTCTCTCAAAGCACCTGCAGCATAGATTCAGTTAAACAAGATAATGCCCTACGTGTTTGTGTTTTGTTTAAATATAAATGATAAAACTAAGGGAAGAAGCGTGTTTATGACTCACATGTTGCTTACAGTAGTGTGGTGGGTGAGTGTTTATGACTCACATGTTGCTTACAGTAACGTGGTGGGTGAGTGTTTATGACTCGCATGTTACTTACAGTAACGTGGTGGGTGAGTGTTCATGACTCACATGTTACTTACAGTAACGTGGTGGGTGAGTGTTCATGACAGGGAAAGTTGTTTATTTTTCAACTCTACACTTTCCTTGTAGCTGCCTGTATTTTCATTGATAGCCAGCCTGCAGGCTAGCCAGCCTGTGGTCAATCCCCGTGCCCATGACGTTTGTACGTTCACTGTGCTTGCTGCCGTCTTTGGCACCATGTCCAGGGCTGGCATTCGGGCGCGGGGCTTTTGGCGGTCGTACAGGGTCCTGGCTGTGTTACGTACTCGTAGCTGAATACGTATATAAATTTAAAATAACTTGTTTTGTTCCATTATATCATTGCCTGTATATGTACACACATTGTGTTTTTTGTAAATTATCGTGTGGTGTGGCAGCGTCAGTGGGGACAGGAGCGCGGTTGCTTTGCACACGTCTAATACCTGTTAGATTCGGGAAGTTGGACCTGTTCAGTTGGGAGTTACAGATGTCACTTTTATTTAGTTTATATAATTGTTTATTTTCTGCAATTAAACAGGTGGCATTGTACTTATATATTTTGTAAGTAACTATTATCTGTAATTTGCATTCTTGTGTGTTTTGAGAACAAGTGGTTGTTCAATTAGTTTTAAATATTAAAAAATCTTTAGTTTCCATCCCTCATCCTGGGTGAGGCAGAGGAGGGGAGGATTATGGGTAGCGACAGAGCGAGAGTTCAGTAGCTGATACGGGCCAAGGGAGCTCACACCTTTGTAGAGTTAAGTCTTTAGCATTCATGTTGTGCCATATTTTATTATGTTATATTAAGTGTAATGACAATATTTTTTTGGTTTGTTGTATAAGTTAACTTTACCATCTGTGTTTTTATATTATACTGTCTTGAATATATCTATATAAGTTTTTGTATCTATTCTTCAGTCCTAAAGGAAGATTTTTATTTATGTGCTCATTACTTATCAAGGGGTTATACTGGTGACCCGCTCTTGAGAACAGCAGTTTTCTCGTATCCCTAGACGTAATTAAAGCTTGGCTGCTGTAGGGTCACGAGCCGTAACGAACGATAGGTAACAGGCTGCTCGTTACCTCGTGCACGTCCCTGGGCCTAGTCGGGGCTGTGTCGTCTTCGGTCGGTGGTTGCAGCAAGTTGTCTCGACTTTGAGTTGTGGAGTGAACAACGACCGCCTCCCGGGTAAGTCCTTACGTTCTTCCTCTGTGGGTAGTTAGCTCCGGGGAGCCGAAGGGGGTCCCCCCAGAAAACCTGCGTTGAATGTAATGAAACGCCATTTTCTGGGTGAGACCTGGAGGCTTCCCCAGCATCCCTCCCTCCCCCAGGTCGGAGTTTTTTTCGTGTGTTTTGACATCCAGCCTCAGAACTGACGGGTCGATAGCCGGCGTGAGGGGGTCTGGGGCTTCCCCCTCCAGGGGAGGGAGGAGCTGTGCGACAGCGGCTCGGCGACGTGTGACGTCATGATCGTTTGTTCGTTTCTTTTAGGAGAGTTCAATCCACTTGTTTGGCTTTTGGTAGCAATAATTTCACCAGAATAGAGGTTTGTTTTGGGATGCTTACCTTTCTGGGTGCCTGACCCGGTCGATGGCAGACATAGAATGCTTCCAACCACACGGGGGTTTCTAAAGGCCATTGCTCCCCATGCTTCTCTGAGGGGGCCAGGTTCTGGCTCGTGGTCCCCAGTAGACCCACAGAACTCCATACACATGACTGATGCCAATGTCTGACATTAGCATATCAGCCTAGTAAGCTCCGGGGAGCCTCCGGGTATCACCCAGAAAATAGCGTTTCATTACATTCAACGCTGTTTTTATTGGGGGGGGGGCGTGGAACGGATTAATTAAACTTACATTATTTCTTATGGGACAATTTGTTTTGTTGCCGAATTTTTGGTTGACACCGAGTCTCTGGGAATGGATTACGATCGTAAATAAAGGTACCACTGTATTTGAATTTTATTCATGTAGTAAACATTATATTCCACAATATGCCATGTTTAATACTATAGAACATTTTATTTAGTGTACAAAGGGACTTATGGCAAGCAGGTGTTTTTTGTGTATGTTAATTATGTTATGTATGTTATTATGTTAGTGTGTATGTAAATTGTCAGATAGTTTGTTCCTCGCCCGGCCCTAGTTACTCTGTATTATTATAATTATATTAATAACTATATTATTATAATAATAATTATAATACGACTTGTTGTAATTAATAATTATTACTCTTCCTTCTGGTGGGTCATGAAGGAAGGTAGCCTCGGGTGTAAGGTGGCGGTGATGAACCCATAGGTATAGGGCTGGACATCCTCCACCCGGGGCTCAGGGAGCCCTGCTTCAGGAGGCTGGGGTCGTTCTTGCCCCTTGCTGGGCTGGTTCTTCTCCGACCCCGGCGGTCTCCGGGTCTGGAGTCCCTGTGCCCTCTTTTACCAACCTCGAGGTTAACTCCGGAGTTGGAGTCTCTCGTACTGACAGTTCATGCGACGGCGCTGGAACCAATCGTATTGGCGTTTGCCTTTCCATTGGAGACTTTCGGCGCCTGCTGCTTGGATAACAGTTTCTCCAGCATATCAACCTACCCTGGCTTTGTGCCCTGGAGAGGCCACTCCAGACCGACAAGCAGAGCACAACTCAATAGTCTCCTGAGACTGATGGATGCCTACTATTATGTAAATTATGTTGTGTAAATGATGTAAATTATGAATGAATGAATGATGACATAAAATGTTTCAAACATTTTCATTAATCAAAGAGTTGCTACATTGTTTTCTAGTTTATTCTTTATATGCTTTTGTCTTTTATATTTGTTTTATTATACATTTAAATAATGTTTATACACTCATAAATACACATTTACACCAGTAAATTACATTTTTAAATGTTAAATTTGTCGATGTTTAACATTTAAAAGATTTGGTATATCCAACTTTCTGATAGGAAGGAAATGTTTGAAATTATATGGAGAGAGAGAGAATGTATGAGAGTCACTCCAGGAAAATTCAAGCTAACGTATGATAGTGTATTATTTGTAGGTAAAATACATTTGAATTTCCAAGTGGTCAGTGAATCACATTTCAAGAGTCTTCTCTATACTTTATTTGTTAGGTTTATTTTATTTAAATTTGTGATTTCAAATATGTAAATCGTGGTGTTTTCCCGTCTACTGTAGAGTTAGTCACATTTTCTCATTACAGAATCCTATATATTTTCTCATAAGATATTTAATTATGAATACCTGAATGTCTTATAAGACATAACTAACACTGGATACCTAACTTGTGATCGCGCTTCCCTCCGTTAATTACACCTCTGCCTCTTGCACACTATTACGTGGGTTCTCAATGGTTAAAATAATCTGGCATTATTATGAGTGTTTTCATATGGAAAGATCAGAAACCTTTCATTCAGTGAGTGTGGCTTGAGTAGGCTTGGCTGATTTATATAAAGTATTTCCAGACAAGAGGTTTAATAATATAAGTGTATGTATGCCTTGTTTTGGTCTTAGAATGAAGTATTAGAATAGTTGTAAGCAAGGTTAGTTATTAGTGCTAAATAATATGTAAAAATGACCTAAATATGCTTGATAGAGGTCATATATCCTGGATAATATATTATATATACTGTATGAACTCGATTATCCAGACTATATGGGAAGGACTCCTATCCAGTTAAGCCCGACATCCGTATTAGCCGAGTTTTACCGAGGAAGAATAAATTAACATTCACAATCTTTATGTATCACAGCCAACGTGATTTGATTTTCCACACACACACTATAATTAGTGTGTGGTGCTGGGTGGGTGGTGAGCTGGGTGGGTAGCTGCCTGGCAGGAAGGTGGGCAGGGCAAGTGGGCGGGGAGACAGGTGGGTGAACGGGTGGGCTGGATGAATGGATGGCAGGAAGAAGGGTTTGATGGTTGGCAGATGGGTGGAGGAGCAGGTTTGCAGGTGGGTGAAGACCCACTCCAGCCTCCCTGCTTGCCCACCCACCCATAGCCTGACTCCCACCTTCCCTGCCAGACAGGGTCCCTCCTTGCCCTCCTTACTCCTGCCCACCATCTTTACTCCTGCCCACCCTCCTTACTCCTGCCCACCCTCCTTACTCCTGCCCACCCTCCTTACTCCTGCCCACCCTCCTTACTTTTGCTCAAAGCATAATACCTAAAAAAATTATTTAATTTTTCTAAATATTTACTGTGTTTTGGTGGGAAAAATTTAGTCATAGAAACCTTAAATTTGTTTTATTTTGCCTTAATAGGTAATACTGCTTCCAGTCTCTGCTCGGCTACCCAGGACGATAGCAAACACAACTCTTGCCCATTAATGATGGTAAGGACAATTTTATTCTTACTGTACTACCAGTGTGTGTGTTTATCATGTTGATGTCGATATCCAGTGATTGTGAGTGTATTAATCATATTGTCATTACCCAGTGATGTTAAGTGCCCTCTGAACTGCACATAGCACCTTGACCCTTTAACAGCACAAATTGTTTGTATACACTTTTGGTCTAACTGCCTGCACATCGTACATTGTATATATACATGTTAAAGTACCGTGTAAGATTTAAAAGTATTAAACACAGGGTTCACGCGGCTACACAGGGTTCACGCGGCTACACAGGGTTCACGCGGCTACACAGGGTTCACGCGGCTACACAGGGTTCACGCGGCTACACAGGGTTCACGCGGCTACACAGGGTTCACGCGGCTACACAGGGTTCACGCGGCTACACAGGGTTCATGCGGCTACACAGGGTTCACACAGCTACACAGGGTTCACACAGCTACACAGGGTTCACGCGGCTACACAGGGTTCACACAGCTACACAGGGTTCACATAGCTACACAGGGTTCACGCGGCTACACAGGGTTCACGCGGCTACACAGGGTTCACGCGGCTACACAGGGTTCACGCGGCTACACAGGGTTCACGCGGCTACACAGGGTTCACGCGGCTACACAGGGTTCACACAGCTACACAGGGTTCACGCGGCTACACAGGGTTCACGCGGCTACACAGGGTTCACGCGGCTACACAGGGTTCACACAGCTACACAGGGTTCACACAGCTACACAGGGTTCACGCGGCTACACAGGGTTCACGCGGCTACACAGGGTTCACGCGGCTACACAGGGTTCACGTGGCTACACAGGGTTCACACAGCTACACAGGGTTCACGCGGCTTGTTACGACCCTGGGTTCTCCAGTGGAAACCAGAGGTCAAAATTGAGCTATTAAACTTCCTGGTAGTACAGTTGGGCATCTCGAATAGCAATTGTTTGTATCTTCCCTGCCAGACGTAAGACTATTATTGTTTCTCAAAGAGCATTTAAAGACTGAGCTGGGGGTTGATTATTAAATAATAACATAGGCACCAACTTTGCTTACTAATACTTTCTAATCATTCATAAAGTAACAATACGTTGCATAGGGGAAGATCTTTAATGTGCTTAGCTGCACGATCAATTAGGCTCCTCCCGGCACCACGACATGAGGGAGGCAGCTGGTGGCTAGCTCGTTCTTCTCTCTGGCTGGTGTGTGCGGATAAGACCTACTCTGTGGCTGTATCCCTACTCTTCTCCCTTCTCCTCTTACTTATTTCCCTTACCTGAAGTCCCTGTATCCTTAAGCTAAGTACGGGGCATCAGTAAGTGTACCTACTCTGGTAGTAACTATTGGTGAGACCTGGGAACGGTTGTGTGCTAGCCTAGGGTCCAGCTCATCTAGCAAAGGACATTCTTGCACTGACTGGACACCCAGCTGGATCACTTCACGATTAAGGTTAGTGTGGCCTTGTGTTAGGGGCCGTGCAAATTTTTGTTTTTTTCCAATTTTATTTTTTAATTTTTTCTTTGGCTGGGAGCTAAAATTATTAGTGATGTCTTTTGAAATGCAGGAACTGGCAAGGGAGCCTTCAGTGGTAGAGATAAAGAAACTTAAAAAGTCTAATTTAGTATTGTTAGGCCAGGAATTTGGCCTAGAATTAAATGTCGCAGATAAAAAGTGGACTTTGGTAAATGAAATATTAGAACATTGTATTGATGAACAACTATTGGCAAGTGATACACCTTTATGCCAGCCTAGCCAAGCAGAAAGTGCAACTCATAGGGAAAGTGAATTAGCTTTAGAGTTAGCAAAAATAAAATTAGAGGAGCAAAAACTCAAAACCGAGGAGGCTAGAATTAGAGCGAATGCCACTGGACCTCCACCTGCCGGGGATTCAAACCCCAGGCATTATGAGAAAAAGCATAATTTGCCTGAATTTTCCGAGTCTGACCCTGAAAGGTTTTTCAACCATTTTCAGAGAGTGGCCACGTCCATGAACTGGCCAAAGGAAGAATGGGTGAAAATCCTACAGGGAAGACTTAGGGGTAAAGCACAAGATATTTTTATAAACATGCCTGACGACGAGTGTTTCGAATATGATAAAGTCAGGGAATGTATTTTGCGGGCATATGAAATTACTCCTGAAGCTCACCGCCAAGTTTATCGTAACCTTAGGCCTACTCACAACCAACCGCTCACTGAATTTGTGAATGATCAAATTCGATTATTTGATAGATGGATTCGCTCGGCGAAAGCCGAAACATACGAGGCTCTCAGGAACTTAATTTTAATGGAGCATTTTATAGATATTATGTCAGAGAATGTTTCCCAGTATATTAGAGGAAGGATTGAGTTAAATTCTAAAATAGGGGATTTGGCCAAGTTGGCAGAAAACTACCAATTGGCGGGCAAAAGGCCCAATAAAAATAATTATACCCCACAGAGTAGCAAACCTTATACCCACAGCCAGTCCAGATCAGCTCATTCTAACCCTTTACCTAATGCACCTTCTGTTTCAGACATAACTAACCCTGTTAAAGTGTCTAGCCCAACGGCACCTAAAGGTGAACCGAAGGGTAATTCTGTTAGTAATGTCTCTTCTCCCCGACGTTTTTGTGGTCACTGTAATCGTCCAAACCACACTATTAGCCGTTGTTGGCAACTGCACCCTGAAAAAAGACCCAATGCTCTAGTTGTGACACAGGGCTTGAGGCTTTCAGAAGGGTTAGGGAGTAAGACCTCCAACCCACAGTGGTTGGACTTGCTTACCCCATTCTTATCGAAAGGGAGACTTCTTTTGTCTGAGGGTTCTTCCTGGAAGGACGTGGTGATCTTCCGAGACACCGGTGCCATCCAGACTTTAATTTTAGAGAGTGCATTGCAAGGTGCCAACACTCTCGACACTGGAGAGGTGGTACTGGTCGAGGGTGTCACTAGTGATACTCGAGCCGTACCCCTCCATAAGGTTACCCTGGAATCTGATTTCCACAAGGGTGTTTATACAGTCGGAGTCACTTCATACCTACCTTTCCCTAATGTTGATGTAATAGTTGGTAATGATTTAGCAGGGGATAAGGTAGGGGACTCCAGACTGCCTACCCCTAAGGTTTGCCTGGATCCACCCGCCTCAGAGGATAATGTTGTGTACCCTGCGTGCGCGGTGACCAGGTCTATGGGACTTAAATGTAAGGGCAGCCCTGTGCTTGCCAAGGTGGTAAATCCCGAGGTCACGAGGAGCTTTCCGAGTGGTGAAAACCAAGTGGACCTCGCGGACACATTCATGGCCCGACTCGATGACGTGGCCGAGGACATTGTGGAGAGCCTGCCACCGCCATCTACAGAGAGTAGTGGGGAGGTGGAGGAGAACGCTGTTGAGCCTCGGCCAATGGCATCTGACCAAGGCCTAGATGCCTCCTTGAGTGAGTTACAGAAAGCTGACCCCACTCTTGCAGATTGTCATGAGACAGCTGTCTCTATGGAGGAAATTGTAGACGCAGCAACTGGGTACTACTGCAATGATCGGATTTTGATGAGAAAATGGAGACCACAGAGTGCTCCCTTGTCAAATGAGTGGGAAGTAGTCCACCAGGTTATGTTGCCGACCTGCTATAGAGAAAGAGTTTTGGCAGCTGCTCATGATGATCCTATGGGGGGACATCAAGGTATTAATATTACGTATCACAAAATTTTAAAGTATTTTTTCTGGCCCAAGCTGAAAAGCGATGTGGCAAAATTTTGTAATGCGTGTATTGTTTGTCAACTGGTTGGGAAACCAAACCAGACTCCACCTAAAGCTCCTCTAAGGCCTATTGTCGTGCCAGAGGAACCATTTTCTCATGTGGTAATGGACTGTGTTGGACCATTACCTAGAACTAAGTCTGGTAATATTTACCTAATCACGATGATGTGTATCACTACTCGTTACCCAGAGGCTTTTGCTGTAAGGAACATCCGAGCAAAAACTGTTGTTGCTCATATGTTGCAATTTTTTTCCACTTTTGGACTGCCTCGGGTCATGCAAACTGACAATGGTACTAATTTTAAGTCTGATGTTTTCGAGCAATTTTGTAAGGAACATGGAATAACTCATAAGGTTTCCAGCCCATACCATCCACAGAGTCAGGGGGTAATTGAACGTTTCCATCTAACTCTGAAGCAGATGTTGAAGACATCGTGCGAGAGTTCCCACACCTTCTGGGATGAGAATTTACCGTATGTTTTGTTTGCGGCTAGAGAGGGATTACAAAGTTCACTGGGCTGTTCTCCTTTTGAGTTAGTCTTTGGCCATAAAGTTCGTGGACCCTTGCAAATGTTACAGGAGAATCTGTTAGGGAACGTAACGTTATCCGAAGGTTCGGCTTTCTTTGCGCAACACCACCAGAGACTCAAGGACTGCAAGGCGGCTGCATTTAAGTATCTTGGCAAGGCCCAAGAAAAGATGAAAGAACGTAACGATGCTAAATCTAAGTTACGGGTATTTCAGCCTGGCGACCCTGTCCTGGTATTAAAGCCTCGACTAGGGAACACTATGTCCCACAAGTACGAAGGCCCCTACATTGTGACAGAAAAGACTGGGGACCTCACGTACAAAGTGAGGCACTCTGACAAACGTAACCAGGTAATGCTCATACATGTAAATCGACTGAAGAAGTTCCAGGGCCCCAGGCCCATTGCACTAACCAATGTTTCCATTTCCAGTGAGAGAGGGGATGATTGTTCTGGGGATCCAACTAATCTCATTTTCAATAATTCTAGTTCTGTGAATGCTGTGGAGGAACTGTCCCATTTGCAGATGGCCCAACGTGAAGAGGTGCAGTCGTTGGTTGCTGAATTCTCCAGTCTGTTCGGGGATGTCCCGACCCAGACTGATGCCATTTGCCATGATGTCGAATTGACGGACTACACTCCCATTCGCCTTCAACCCTATCGGATGAGTCCAGAAAAGAAGGCCATCGTACGGAAGGAGGTCGCCTTCTTGCTCCAGCACGGCCTCATCCGGC